CTGTTTTTTATTCTCACTAAGTGTCATGTTTAATCTTGGTACACAAATAAAGAATAAATTGATCCCGGATAACGAAAAAATAATAGCGATATAGAAAACCAAAACCAGATTTTAGTTTCAGGCTTCTGATACTGAAAGTTATTTTTTCAAAAATATTTTCGGTTGATTTGATCTTTTTGTGTGTGTGTGTGTGTGTAATCAAATATGATTGAAAATAGGTAGAGGGCGATGCAAATAATTGTTCAATAAAAGTGTAACCTTTTATAATTAAAACTATTTAAGCATTGTTCATTATTTGATGCTTAATTCATAGCCTTTTTATGAGCTACTTTATACATACATGCTGAGTGCTTAAAAAAATGCAAGCATATGTCCAGTTTGTTAAATGTGACTTTAAAAATGATGAGTACACATCTATGTAGAATGTGTGAAAATATCTCGATACTATTATTTATGAGTTATAATAGCTCGAATAAAGTGATGTTTTTCATTGTTTACCTTATCTAAATACAAAAAATTTAGCGTATAGTTTTCGATTAGTCACGCTTAATAACTTATATCTACCTCAAATTTCATTTTCACGGTGTCAAATGCTATTTCTTCAACTAAAAATGTTCCATGAAATTTAAGAATAGTCATGTTAAAAGTTTGGAATTTAGGTCAATTTTTTTTATTGTGGTTGACATTTCTAACATCCAAAGATAAAGAGACAAATCACGAATTACTTGGAATTAAACACTTCACGTTGATGCTGAAAATGCTTACGATTTCATTCATTTTTTATTTATTCGAACATTACGTGTAAATGTGGTTTCTACTAACAAAAAATTGAATCGGGATCTTTTCATTTGTCCTTATCCAAATAAATAGTGTTACCACACAAACGATCCACACACTTATAATTTACTTCATTACTCAAGTGGAAATAAGGGGGTAGAGACATTTTACAGCATGTTTAACACAAGTCATCAACTCGAATTGACTCATAAACACATATTTTTAAAGAATCAAATGAAATTATTTTTCACTCATAACGAACAGCAACGTAAACTATTTTCATAATTAGTTTAATAATTTCAAAGAATTGTTACTTTTTGTTTAGTATTATCCACCACTTGAAATCTTGTAACTAAATAATGTGGAACGAATTTTAGTCAGAAGAGAATATTAAAAAATAAAAAAAATAACGAAAGGACGATTGTTTGGGTCGTGAGGTTTCCCGCTTCATCGGATCATTTAGTTAAGATGCTTTGTTTGTTTAAACACTTAACTATCATTGAATCATATTATATTTGTGTATATAAGTACTTGGTGAAAACTATAATCACACAACTACACCTGGTTTTGAATTTCGCGCAAAGGTACACGAGGGCTATCTGCGCTAGCCGTCCCTAATTTAGAGGGAAGGCAGCTAGTCATCACCACCCACCGTCAACTCTTGGGCTACTCTTTTTACCAACGAATAGTGGGATTGACCGTCACATTATAATGCTCCCAGGGCTGAAAGGGCGAGCATGTTTGGTGTGACGGGGATTAAAACCCGCGACCCTCAGACATATTGTACAGTTTGAAAGTTCAGTAAGATACGCATGTTATCTCACAGTTCAGAAAACTGGCAAAAGTATTCGCTGAAGCACAATACTTAAAATTATTCTCGCAAACAAGAACAACAATTTTATGTTCTAAATATTTTATTTATGCCAACTTTTTTCGGTTTTTTGAAATGAAATGTCTTAACTTTTGAACACATTAATACTTCCATATGACTCAAGTTTAAATTGAGAAACGGGTTCATAGTTGGAAGGATAATTGAGTCACAAGTTAATGTAAACTTTCCGCTGCCAGGTTAGGATTTTACTCTTACGTTGCTAGAATTTTGTTGTTTTTTTTGTTCCAGAGGGGGAATTCCCAAAAGAGAAAGTAGATTAAATACCACTTATCTTAACACACTTTTTACAAACTAACTACAGTAGGGTATGAACTAGATTTTAATCGTTAATTACCTTTGCCAACGGAAGGGGGGTATTGCAATCGGGACCGTGTAGTAGTAGTTTCGTATGATGTTTCTCACACCTCCAAATTCTGTTGGAGGTGAGTATCCGGGAGTAAGACTAACGGGTGAGCATGTTTCGGTGTGACGGGGATTCGAACCCGCGACCCTCAGATTGGAGTCGAGGGCTCTAACCAACTAGCCATGCCAGGCATCGGGACCGTGTATATGTGCGTTTCTCGAAAATTAATAGACCGATGAACACGAAAATTTTACACAAGGTGGGAATTTCAGTAAGGGACAGTGCTTCCCAAATTTGATCCGGATACGGACTCACGATCATATTGAAGCATTTTTTTTTTTTATTAATGGGAGATAGGGC